GAATGCAGACATGTATTTACTCATTTCCACTTCTTCATAGGTCACACAGTTGATATTCAGGGAAAAACTGAAACAATGGCAGAGACTCACTCACCCAGTTCCTGGGTTGGTCGGCGGAAAGCACACACCTTTTTCTATTGTACCACTTTGGGTTTTTGTCAAAAATTGGGTGTTCATAGGTGTGTGGACTAATGTCAGGGTCTTTGAGTTTCTCTCCATTTAACTTGATGTTGGCTGCCGGCTTGCTGTAAATTGCCTTTAGTATGTTTAGGTATCTCCTTGTATCCCTGGTATCTCCAAGACCCTCATAATTAAGGGGTGTTTGATGCATCTGAAGAGATAATCATTCATTTCTTTATTCGGTTTGTCTATATGGTGGATTACATTGACAGATTTCTATATGTTGAACCACCCTGCATCTCTGGGATGAAGCATTCTTGGTCATGTTGCATGACTTTTTTATGTGTTCTTGGATTTGGTTTGCCTGCATTTTATTGAATATTTATGCATCAATGTTCATTAGGGAGATTGGTCTGTAGTTCTCTCTCTTTGTTGCATCTGTGTGTGGTTTGGGTATCAGGGTAACTATAGCCTCATAAAAGGAGTTTGGCAATGTTCTTTCTGTTTCTATTGTGTGGAACAATTTGGTATTAGTTCTTCTTTGAAATTCTGGTATAATTCTGTGCTGAAGCCATCTGGTCCTGAACTTTTGTTTTTTGGTTGGGAGAGTTTTGGTAAGGCTTGTATTTCCTTAGGGGTCATAGGTCTGTTTAAACTGTTTGTTTGGTCTTGATTTAACTTTGGCATGTGGTACCTATCCATAAAATTGTCCATTTCTTCTAAATTTTCCAATTTGGTGTTGTACAGGTTTTTGAAGTATAACCTGGTGATTCTCTGGATTTCCTCTCTGTATGTTGTTATATCCCCCTTTTCATTTCTGATTTTTAATTTAGATATTCTCCCTCTGCATTTTGGTTAGGTTGGATAAAAGTTTGTCTGTCTTGTTCATTTTCTTGAAGAACCAACTCTTTGTTATATGAATTCTTTGTATTGTCCTCTTTGTTTCTATTTTATTGATTTCAGCTATCAATTTTATTATTTCCTGGTGTCTACTCCTCCTGGGTGAGTTTGCTTATTTATGTTTTAGAGCTTTTAGTGTGTGTTAAGTCACCAGTGTAAGATTTCTCCACCTTCTTTGTGTAGGCACTTAGTGCTTGAACTTTCCCCTTAGCACTGCTTTCATTGTATCTTATAAGTTGGAGTATGTTGTGTGGTCATTTTCCTTAAATTTTGGGAAGTCTTTAATTTCTTTCTTTATTTCTTCCTTGACCCAGAAGTGATTCAGTTGAGCCTTATTTAGTTTCCATGAGTTTCTAGGCTTTCTGTAATTAGCTTTATTGTTGGTTTCTAACTTTAAGCCATGATGATCTGGTAAGATACAGGGGGTTATTCCAATTTTTTTATCAGTTGATATTTACTTTGTGACAAAGTATGTGATCAGCTTAGAGATGGTTCTATGAGGTTCTGAGGAGAAGGAATATTCTTCTCTGTTTGGGTGGAACGTTCTATAGATATCTCTATAGAACATTTGAGCCATTACTTCTGTTGATTCCTTTACTTCTCTGTTAATTTTCTGTCTGTCAGACTTGTCCATTGGTGAGAGTAGGGTGTTGAAGCCTCCCTCAATTAGTGTGTGGGGTTTGATGTGGGGATATCTTCATAGTCATGTCCTTCTTTAGGTAGGGAAAGTTTTCTTCTATCATTTTGTTGAATACATTTTCTGTGCCTTTGAGCTAGTATTCTTCTCCTTCTTCTATCCCTATTATTCCTAGGTTTGGTCTTTTCATGGTGTCCCAGATTTCCTAGATGTTTTGTGTTAAGAATTTGTTGGATTTAACATTTTCTTTGACCAGTGAATCTATTTCTTCTATGGTATCTGCAATGCCTGAGATTCTCTCTCCCATCTCTTGTATTATGTTGTTTATGCTTACATCTGTAGTTCCTGTTCATTTTCATGGATTTTCCATTTCCAGAATTCCCTTGACTTTTGTTTTCTTCATTGCCTCTATTTCAATTTTCAAGTCTTGAACCATTTCCTTCACCTGTTTGATTGTTGTTTTCTTGGCTTCCTTTATGGGGTTTATTGATTTCTTCCTATTTTTGTTTGTCTTTTCCTCAATTTCTTTAAGGGAATATCTTATTTCCTCTTTAAGGGCCTCTATCATCTTCATAAAGCCATTTTAGGCCATTTTCTTTTGCTTCATCTGTGTTGTGATGGTCAGGTCTTGCTATTGTAGAACCACTGGGTTCTGTTGGTGTCATATTGCTCTTGATGTTGTTGAGTGTATTCTTACATTGCTATCTACGTATCTCTTCTTTTAATTAGTGCAGGTGGTACTTGTGTCTCTAAGGGCTACTGGTCACTTCTTCCAGTTGGTGCAGGTGATGCTTGTTTCTCTAGGCACTGATGTTTTTCCAATTGATGTAGGCAGTGCTTGTGTTTCTAGGGGCTGCTGCTCTTGTGGGATATGTTTAGCGAGGGTGAGGGTGATGGGTTCATTGGGTCTTGTAGGTTACAGTGTCCAGTGGGTGGAGGCAGTGGTGGAGCAGCCTGCCAGCAGGACTCTTACCTGCTAGCTGGCTGCTGAACTGGGAGGGGGACGTACAGGGAATGTGCCCTGGAGCTTAGGGTCTAAGGATTGGGGTAGTTTTTCTGGGAGAACAATCACTCACATCTTTTTCAGATTGGTTCAGGTAGTGCTTGTGTCTCTAGGGGCTCTTGCAGGGGTGTTTGCCCAGGGGGAGCACAATAGGTTCAGTGTGTTTGGGAGTCAGAGTGGTCTTGTAGGTTACAGTGTCCAATGGGTGGGGACAATGGTGGAGCAGCCTTCCAGCAGGACTCACCAGCTAGTTGGCTGCTGGGGGATCAGAAATGGTTTGTTTTGACTCATGGGTTTGACTCATAGAATTTTTCAGCCTATAGTTTCTTGACTACTGCTTTGGGCTTGTGACAGCACAGAAATTCACAATAAAGTGCACAGTGGAAGGGGCCTGTTCCATACACAGCTGTCAGTAAACAAAGTGTAGATAAAAGGTCTGGGGTTCCAATATGATCCATTCAAGAGCATACCCCAAATGACCTAAGTTTATCCCACTAGGTTCCAACTTCTAAATGTTCTATAACTTCCCACTAGCTCCATATCCTGATAACTAAGCCTTTAATACATGTGTATTCTGTGACAATTCATAGAACATTAAATATTAGCATAGGTAAGCCTAAGACTACTTATACTTCTCTCAGTCTTTGCTTTGAGTAAATCATATTAGAATTGGATTTTTGACTATCTGAATTTTTTATCCTTACCCCTCAACTTTTTGCCTCTCATACAGAAGTTATAAAAGCCAGTATCTGAGCAATGGTCCTCATCGAATTGGTAGGAAATACAAAAAAGTCAGATTTATAGCGTACACAGATGAAACCTTTAAGACCCGTGAAACTATCCAGCATGAATCAGGAATCTTGGGACCTTTACTTTATGGGGAAGTTGGAGACACATTGTTGGTAAGTCAAGGGAAAAATATGAGATTGCTTCAGAAAAAAAAAGAAGTCTCAAGGCTTGTGAGATAACTCAGTTGTTAAGAGCACTTGTTATTCTTTCACAGGAACTGGATTCAGCTCTCAGCACTCACATGACAGTGCACAACCATCTGTAATTCTAGTTACAGGGAATCCAAAACCCTCTGCTGACCTCCATGGGTACCAAGCATACATGTTGTACACATACATACATGCTCAAAACATTCATATGCATAAATAAAATAAATCTTTCTTTTAAAAGTCTGGAAGGTTTTGAGTTTATGTGACCCTTCAAAGTTCAGTATTGTCTCCAATGGACAGAATCTTTTAAAGATTATGAATGCTTTACAAATAAAATATACTCATATATAATGAGTATATGGAATAAAAATATAATGTGACCAATCACACTCTCAACTTCTCTTAAATACTCACTACTTAGGCTGATACATACATATATTTCCAGAACTTTCTTCATCAGTTGTTCTTTTCCTTCATTAACTTTTAAAATAGAAATCACACCTTGAGATCTAGAGGTAATCTTCAGGTATTTTCAGTACTTTTTCCATATTAGTATTTTTCTTTTGTATTATTCTGTAAATCTATTGTAATCAGACAGTGTCACCTGCCACCCTTGCTGAGGAAATTTATTGTCTTCCTTGTTATACCTGCTTATTAAGTGATAAATCTTATAACCTGAATCACTGTCTCCTTCTCCAGTGTTGAGGAATTTGGTGCCAAGAATACAGAAAGGCTGAGGAAAAGTAATGTCCTTAGCAGACACCCAAATTTCACTTCATGTGAGAGCAAGACTGAAGTAATTGAAATTGAAAAGGGTTGTGACAAAACTAAGCAGCTACCTAAGCTTCCTTTTCATGAAAAGAATGAATATATTAAGTTTCATTGAGGCCTTAGACTCCTGTAATGTGGATATAGGAAGCTTTTGATTTTCTGGAGCTAGGCCAGTTTTCTTATTGATCCCAGTTGTCATAGGAGTTGATCTCATATCTCACCTGTACTTTCAGATTGTATTTAAGAACCAAGCAAGCCGACCATATAACATTTACCCTCATGGAATCACTGATGTCAGCCCGCTACACTTAAGAAGATTGCCAAGAGGTAAATAGTATCTCAATTTATAGATCTTTCTTCATGTAGATTCACTTGAGGTACTTCTCCAGCTGTTGACACACTTTTTTTGGTTTTTCAAGACAGGGTTTCTCTGTGGCTTTGGAGGCTGTCCTGGAACTAGTTCTTGTAGATCAGGCTGGTCTTGAACTCACAGAGATTCACCTGTCTCTGCCTCCCAAGTGCTGGGATTAAAGGCATGTGCCACGACTGCCCAGCTGACACACACTTTTTACAGTAATTTTACATAAGTCTTCTTTGCTTTTTCTAAGTATTTATTCTAAAGATAATAAATCCAAAATAGTATTTGTATCATTTTAGTAATGCAAGGTCATTTTATCAATATATTTACCATAGAACTAAGTAATATGCTATGATTATTTTCTTGTTCACAGTCCTATTCATTTTATTATTAAAATAAAATAGATTCTTCTTCTATATGCAGTATTGTGCAAATATTCTTATTATTTCTATTATTTGTAGTAAGAGGTAAACTTGTTCAAACTAACATGTTAAGAAAATATGGTATATGTGAGAGAGAGATGCCTGCCCCTGGAAACCTCCTGGCCCTGACCCCCACCCCTTTCTGCCTGTGGCAGGTAGGAGAGCAGGTCACACAGACATGAGAGCAGGAGAGCTGGCCCTGCCCCTCACCAGCTGCAGCACTTAGAATTAGTGGCCCCTGCACCTCAACTGGGAAGCACAGTAGAGCTGGCCCTGGTGATATAGGTGTGGGTCAGCTGGCCTTGTGGGTGTCAGAGAAGAAGAAACTGCCCTGCCCCTTGCTGTTTGTTGCATATGGTGAACTAGCCAGGGCAGTGCTGGAGAGCACAGCCTAGTGGTGAGGACAGGGGAGAGCTGGTGAGCTGACCAACCCTGCAACCATCCAGGCCCAGAACCAGGATTATAGAGTTGGCCACCCCAACATCCACCCCATATATGATCTGCTGGAGCAGATCCAAAGCTGTAGAATCTCCACAACACAGGGCAACAACAGGATATCTAAGAGGAGTCCCACTGAGGGCCCAGTATTGATAGTGTAGTAGAAACCAGAAGTCTTGAACCATACCAATGACTCTTTGCAACAAACACTTGAAAGCAATGGTATATGGACAAAAGGGTATGTGTGACTCACTGTATCACAGTACCACTTCCACTATGATGTTTTTATTTTCTCTTAAATTTTATTTTATTTTGTTGGGGGGGCAGTGCTAGGGCAGATACAAAGGAATGGGGAGGTGAATAGCATCAAGATGTATGGCGTAAAACCCACAAAGAATCAATAAAAAGTTTTTTTAAGTCTCCTGAATCCATTTTTATTGTATAAAATAATTTTTTGAATCTTCAATTTATAACAGGTGCCATTTTACTTTCTGTTTGCTGAAAAATTTCACCTATACATGTGGATTAGTACCTCCCTTGAAATAAAAACATGATTATTTTTAAAGGGGGAAATTTAGATACACTGAACTTGTCAGAATTTACTTGAGAAAAGTAATAATTCATGAATTAATTTTGTACTAGAAGTTGTCTTGTATGGTGTTTTCACAGCTTCACCCTTAAATGAGCTTGAGGTTCAGTTATTGTGATTTGATAAGTCTCAGCTACTTGTTACAAGAGTATACTTTCAAGTTAGGTTAAAATTGTCTGTATACCAAGTTATATTGCAGTTTCTATGCCCAGAGACCTTTAACACAAACTTGAAACACATACTAAATATGTAGCTCATTATACTCTAATTGATCTATTTCTGTTTGGGGTATGGGTAGGTATAAAGCATGTGAAGGATTTGCCAATTCGTCCAGGAGAGATATTCAAATATAAATGGACAGTTAGTGTAGAAGATGGACCAACTAAATCAGATCCACGGTGCCTGACCCGCTATTATTCAAGTTTCATTAATCCTGAGAGAGATCTAGCTTCAGGACTGATTGGCCCTCTTCTCATCTGCTACAAAGAATCTGTAGATCAAAGAGGAAACCAGGTGAGATCTTCCCTTACCAAGTATTAAGTTTGAAACTAAAAGTAGAATAAAATGCCTATGAACCTCTAGATATTCCCCCATACTCTCTTAATATAGGTACCTCTATAACCTATAGAAAATATAACCCAATAAAAGTGATTAAGCTGAGTTCCACTTAGCTTTATTGTTGTAATTTTTAAAAGTGGCACATACGAGAAAGACATCACGCAACAGAGCTCACATGGAGGGGATTTTTATTGGAGGAAAGTGAATAAGGAAAGGGGAGGGAAGAGGGGAGACTGACCTCTGGGGAGAGGAGCATCAGAAGAGAAGAGAGAATGGAGAGAGAGGAGAGGAGAGGGGGGAGGGGAGGGGAGGAGAGGAGAGGGGAGGGGAGGAGAGGAGAGGAGAGGAGAGACAGGAGAGAGAGAGAGAGAGAGAGGAGAGTGATGCCTTCTGGATAAACAGAAAAATCAGAACCCTAGATTCTTTCTATAATACTCAGTCCCAATCTAAGATTTTGATTTCCCCCAAGGATCTTGCCCATTTTTACCTCTCCAATTGTCACCTACTTTTAGATGACCAATTTTATTTGAGACAGGGTTTCAGGTGTCCCAGGCTGGCCTCGAGCTCCTTATGTAGCTGAAGATGGTCTTTGATTTCTGGTCCCCCTGCCTAAGCCTTCTGTCTCCAGGAATAGTAGGTGTGTGTCACCATGCCCAGTTTAGGCAGTACTGGGGCTCAGACCCAGGGCTTTGTGCATGCTAGGCAAACTGAAGTACATCTACCAACTGAAATACTTCCCTGGCCTCTATCATTTTTTAAACCTACAAAATTATGTCTACAGCCTATGTTTCTCTCCTGGACATCTCACTATGAATGAATCAAAACCACCTTAAAATTAGCCATGGAGGTGACACATGCCTCCAATCTCAGTACAGGGAGACAGAGGTGAATTTTGATTTCAAGGTTAAGCCTGGAGCTCTAGTTCAGCTTCTCCTATGAGCAAAACTCTGTCAGAAAACAAAAGTAATACACATGTAGTATCTACAACACTATGTGGCACTTAGTAAGGCACCAATATTTTTTAATAAAATAAAGGAAAATATAAAATTATTTTGATTATGCCTAGAATTTAGATTATTTTGGCTGCTCTAGAATATAATCTGAGCTTGGCAGTGGTGGCACACCCCTTTAATCCTGGCACTCAGGAGATGGATCTCTGTGAGTTTGAGGACAGTCTGGTCTACAGAGCTTAGTTCCAGGATAGCCAGAGCTGTTACACAGAGAAATCCCATCTTGAAAATACAAACCAAAAATGAAAATTGTCTAAGTAAGAAAAACTTAGGATTTTTTGTTTTTGCTTTGTTTTGTTTTAAAAAAACTCATTTCTTGGCTCTAGAAGAACACATTGCTATACATTTAGGCTTGATCATGCATTCATTTTGGCTATTTAGGATATGTCAATTCCTACTAGTTAGAAGGCATTTCATAGGTTTAATGAGCAAAGGACTTAAACACAGATATAAAATGGTATACAAATCCAGAGTAATGGGACTTGGAACTTAATATTTGGATATGAATAAATATCTGTCCTGAAAATGTTTCCTAATTATACTTTTCCCATCAGCTTTTTGGAAGATGACTGAAATATATTTTCTCCAATTTCCTCTTTGGCATTTTGGCTTTTGCAACAATGGATTATACAAAATTAATTTACACATGTGAAGTTTAGATATTAAATCCTATACTCAATTACCAGGCAACTAGCTCATGAATTTGGCTTACCATACAAAGCAAAAGTCCAAGATACTGGATATTTTAGAACAAAATATTTAAAGTATTAGTGTTGTTCAGTGTTCATCCTATCATATCTGACTCCCGTTTCACATTTTTAGTTTCCTATAAGCTGGTAGCCTTATGTAAAGATAGTTGCAAGATAGGAAGTTAGGAATGGTATTGATTTTATTTGACTTGGATAACTTATCTTTAAGGTATATATTTCTCTACATTAGACATGGAGAAAATGAGACTATAAACTGTACCAGTATATGATCTTGGGTCCAGGAAGAATGAAATTTACTAGTTCCACCTACCTTCATGCCTTGAGGTTGCATTAGCTCTAAACATATACTCATCACTCAAAATGCCCATCCCTCTTCCATGACATGCCATAATAGTGACAGTTCAGAGGAAATGAATTGAGCTAAAGGATTAGTATATGCTCTCCCTCCATCCTACACTGCTAGCTCCTACCTACAAGTGATATTTCTTTCTCCCTTTTAATATATGTTATTAATAGATGATGTCAGACAAGAGAAATGTCATCCTGTTTTCTCTATTTGATGAGAACCAAAGCTGGTACATCACAGAGAACATGCAACGCTTCCTCCCCAATGCAGCTGATACACAGACCCAGGACCCTGAGTTCCAGACTTCCAACATCATGCACAGTGAGTAAAGAATCACTTTTAGCTGGGTGGTGGTGGTGCACCCCTTTAATACCAGCACTCAGGAGGCAGAGGAAGGCAAGTCTCTGAGTTTGAGGCCAGCCTGGTCTACAGAGTGAGTTCTAGGAAGCCAAGGCTACACAGAGAAACCCTGTCTCAAAAAAAAAAAAAAAAACCGTTTGTATTTAATGCACATCTGGCAAAGGGAAATTGATGGCCCCAACTGATGTCTAGATAATATCTGTTATGTATAGACTATAAATAAATATGTAACTGTGACCATATAATGTGTATTTTAAAAATTCACTAACCACTTTTCCTTTCAATATTTATTTAGCTACCCTGTCCTTTTAATTTGTATTTTATCTCCTATGTTACTCATTTTTGCAAACCATTCCATACCAAGATAGCTCATTTCAAAATACTTTCCTATTATTATATAATCATATATTATATGCATGGCATTAGCCTGTAAAAAAGGTTAGATTTCTCTCTTCACTGAGATCACAGTGTCAGAAGACCTAGTTACTTCTTCAATCTCTCTTGCCCCTGTACCCTTGCATGATCTTCTCTCTGTACCTGTCTTTCTGTATTATAATCATCACTTATTATAAAAAACTTAGCATCTACACTAATAACTTTATTTTGACTAATTTTCTCTTTAAAGACCCATTTCCAAATATAACCACATTTGGAAATATAAGCATCAACATAAAAACTGGGCGAACACAATTCAGCATATAAATTATTCATGTGTATTATTTTTATATAAACAGATCTGAATAGTCAAAACATAATAAAAGTTTAGTCTTACTATACTACTAGGAAAGGATTCTATCAGTGAGACAGATAACATGGCATACCTATCAAAATGCAAAATTAGGAGGCCATTATTATTAGTGGGTATGGGTAAAAGAGAGTTGTCATACAGTACTAGGCAGTAACACTAATAGTTCTTTTGAAGAGTACCTCATGTATTAAATTTTTAAATATATGCTTTTGAAGTCAGAATAAGCATATAGCACCCTGTCTATTTCATATAGTATAAATAAAATTCCTAACCAAATCATGGAAAGAAGAGAACCTTGGAAACTTAGGTTGTAGGCTATACTCACTTTCCAGGATGTGCCTTCTATCAGAATTCCATGCCCCTTATCTCATAGTAATAGTCCTCAGCTTCAAGTCAAGCTGAGCCTCACATTTAGTTTGAATTTCTGGTAATAGTTTCCTATTGCATTCTAGATCAATATTACTTTATTCTCCCTTCTTGTAAAACTTTTGGTTTTGATAGTCCCTTCAATTGCATTTATATTTTTTCATATGCTCAAAACATGTCTTATTTTGTTGAGAGTCTAATTCATACTATTTAATACAGATGACACATTTTTCTTCCTCTTCACTCCAAGTTCATGATGTTATTGTTGATTTTTCCCATCTGACAGAAAATTGCATTTTATTATTTCTTTAGTGTAGCATAAAATAGATCTCTCTATAATTTTATTTTTCTAGCCATCACTTCTCCATTTCCTACTATAGCTTGTTTCAAATACTAGGGTAAGCAAAATTATATTATTTTAATAGATGCAATGTTTAAATCAGGAGAGAGAAGGTTATATAGAATCTAAAAATAGTGAAACAAGTATATTAGGGTTCTCTGGAGTAACAGAACTTATAGAATGAGTCTTTCACTCTCCTTGGGAGCTGTGAAGAGATATGTTTGTGTCTTTTCAGACTCCTACTCTGTAGTATATTATTATGACATCTCTAGCAGGCTACTGTAGTAACATTACCCCACCTCCAATTGTTCATAATTCAAAAAGGACATGTGTTAATCCATGTGAAAACCACTTTTGTTAGTGATATGAAATGATGTGGCATATAGTTTTCCAAATAGACAGTTGTATTTTCCATAATTATTTTCCAACTAGCTCATTATTTTACCTATTTTTCTGAGCTGCTGCGTTTTTCATTATATTTAATTTCTACTTTTATCTATGTCAGTTTCTGACCTCTATATTTTGTTTGGTGCATTTGCTCACTAATGGTTTTAAGGGAGCTGGAGAGATGGCTGTACTAATTTTATACTGTGACTATGATTAAAGCTGACTGTTAGGGGCCAGCCCCCAGTCAGCAACAGGGTATGTGAGAAAATCCATGAATGCAGCAATACCTTAGGAAAAGTTCTTATCTAATAGAGCTTTTTTTTATCTGATGAAAAAATAAAAAAGCACAGATACTTTCTGATGGTACCTTTCTCTTTATTTCATCTTGAAAAAAAAATCCTCCCTGGAAAATCTCTCTTGCTCTCCTCTCAATGCTCTATTCAGCAGCTTCTCCCTAATTAGTTCTACATCTTTCTTTCTCTGCCCCTCCACTGATTCCCTGCTGCCTCTGCCCTTTGCTTTCTCCCTCCCTACATTGTTGTCCTCTCCTATCTCACCCTGCCTCTGCTTTTCTCACAGCCAAACTCTGGAAAAATATGTTATGTTTTAGGGCCCAATGTTAAGTCACGTAGTTTCTCTTAGGCTAGGAATGTCACAATGACCAGCCAGTGACCAAGTGGCATTGCATGTAGCTCTAAGTTGGTGAGGGTTCCCAGATAGTAAACAATTGGCTGAATCTTGAGGTTAGGGAGTAACTGCAAACTAAAGTTGCTTCAAACTCTGACCTTGAATCAGTAACAACACCTGGGAGAATGACCTTGTGTATTTGTCTCTAAGAGCAACCAGATACTGTCTCCAGGGGCAACCAGCCTGCTTTGAATCTTCTCTGAAGTCTAAAGTAGCTGTCTGTGAAAAGGCTGTCTTTGTGACTGAGGATCCTATGCCATTCTGAGTAATGTAAAATATTCTAGTACTTCTACTCATTAAAATTATACAGATAGTATCATCCCAAGCATTGGGAATTTTGGTGATCGATAATTTGGGGCAGATGCAGTTCCTGATGGCAGTGATGAGGAAGAGACAGCCTCTATGGGTTAGTTCCCAGTCTGAGCTACTCTTATTTCTCTATCCTGCCTCCTGGATTGTAGACAGCACATTAACTTATGTGAATTTAAAAAATGTTGCCAATGATATTAAGTTTTCACATTTTATAAAATAAATAAAACTTCAAAAAATGAAAAAATTATGCAGATAGTAGAAATCAAAAAAAATTTATACAGATAGTAGAAATCATCCTTCTGACATCCATAGCTATATGTGTGACCAACAAGTATAAAACACACCACCAAGGGCCTGTGGAAAGAACCCTACAGCTGTTATTAGGAAGGCATAGCAGTGGTACCTGAGAAAGTTACAGGAACAACCAGTCATCCAGTTAGTAAACCAAATGGAGGTCCCAAATAACATCGGGTGAATCAGCTTTGCCAAGTAGGACTCCCCAAAATGTCCGGTGGGTTGACTTGTTAAATACTAGTTGTCACTGCTGTACAGTCTTATGGTCCTCTGCATATGATTAAAACAATCTGATCAAAAGAAACTTGGAGAAGAAAGGGTTTATTTTGCTTACACTTCCAGGCCACAGTCTGCTACTGGTAGAAGTCAAGGCAGAAACCTAGAGACAGAAACCATGGGGGAATATTGCTTGCTGGCTCCCTCACTGGATCACTCTTTGGCTCATGCATAGCTAGCTTCTTATATATCCTAGGACTGCCTTCCCGCTGCCTACAGTGGAATGGGAGGATGGGAGGGAGAGGGAACTTGGATTGGTAAGTAAAATAGGATTTTTAAATTTAAAAATTATTTTTTAATAAAAGGGGACATTTATTAGAATGTCTTACAGGCTGTGGACCAGCTAGTCCAACAATGGCTCTCTACCAAGGGATGTTCCAAGAATCCAGTAGTTGTTCAGTCCATAAGGCTGGATGTCTCATCTAGTCTTCAGTATATGCCAGAATCCCAAAAAAGTAGGTTCTTTGAGATCAGAATGAACTTGAAGGAGGCAAAGAAAGAGAGCTTCCTTTTTCGATGTTCTTTATATAGGCTACCAGCAGAAGGCATGGGCCAGATTAAAAGTAGATCTTCACATTTCAAACGATACAGATTAAAGTTTTATCTTCCCACCTCAGAAGATCTGGATTAAAGTTGGGCCTTTCCATTACAAATAATTTAAGAAAAAATTCCTCACCAGTGTATCCAGCCTCTTGGGTTTTAGTTAATTCCAGATGTAGTCAAGTTGACAACCAAGAATAGCTATCACACCCACAAACCAACCTGATCTAGGCAATTCCTCAATTGAGGATTCTTCTCTTGGATGACTATAGACTTTGTCAGGTTGACAACTAAAGCTAATGAGAACAATTGTTCAGCAGTTAAGATGGTGTTCTGCTTTCAGAAGACCTGAGAGTTTGAGTCCCAGAACCCATGTTGGGCCGCTCATAACTGCCTGTAATTTCATCTCCAGGGGGATCTAACATCTTCTTTAGGTAGCTGCACTCATGTACACATCATACACATACACATAATTAAAAATAAAAGTCTTTAAATGTGATACATTTTGAAATTTATTTTGTGTATGTGTGTATAAGAGAAAGGAAAGAAAGATAGAGACAACATGTGGAAAATGAATGTATACTGGCATGATGGTTCCAAAGTACATTTGTGGAGGTCTGAGGACAATTCTTTGGAGTTGACTCTCTTGCCAGTTATTTTCCACTTGAGAATAGGTTGGAGATATGCCCTATTATTTTTCATAACTCATCATGTATTTCCTTTGAATAAAGATATGTGTTGTCTTAGATTACCAGTGTCATGAGATTCTATATACTTCACATTGATACAATACATTTTGGTAATGTTGTGTATATTCTATTTGTGTCTACCACTGCATTTATCCCATATGATACAGAGTACAAGTATTTAGTCTTTTGTTTCTTAGAATATGGAGCATTATACAATACTAACACTAATCATATGTTTTGGGTTTGTTTATGTAAGTTACTCCTTTTTCTATTGCAACTAATAATTTGTAGGAAAAATGCTTCGAGATCTTGCAAATACCTTGTTCCTCATCAAACTTCCCATAGTGTACATCCAAATCTCTTTATGTGACTCTCTCCTTACTTTGGGATTGGAGTTGGGTGATTAAATATTAACAGTCTACCTGATTGATAACTCTTCTCTGTGGTAAAGTATTGAGTATAATATATGATAATTTTCTAATTATATCCTAACAATCATAATCCAAAATAATAAATTCAGGATACAGCTCAATCTCTTGTTCCCTATTGTTTTTGTAGGCATCAATGGCTATGTCTTTGGTAGCTTGCAGTTGACCATTTGTTTGCATGAGGTGGCCTACTGGTACATTCTTAGTGTTGGAGCACAGAAGGACTTCTTATCGATCTTCTTCTCTGGATATACATTCAAACACAAAATGGTCTATGAAGACACACTTACCCTGTTCCCATTCTCAGGAGAAACTGTCTTTATGTCGATGGAAAACCCAGGTTAGCTATTTATATTATCATTTTGCTAACAACTGTAATTGTTTTACTGTTCTTTTACCTCCTACCTCATATTTGGACAGGCAGTAAATATTTCAACTGACTTTGATATGTGGCTTTAGTAGTTGGAAAGTATTTTAATGAGGAGCAAAGAACTTAGAACTTGGTTGAGTTACAGACAATAAAGACACACATAAACATAAATAAGGTATTTCTTTTCTAAATTTTACTAGTATGCTTATAAATAATGCTACCATATATACCTTTGTATTTATAATACTTTCAAATGTACATTCTATTCATTCTTCTAAAATATTTGTTAAGGATCTTCTATATGACAGCCACTGTAGGCATTGGTAATCTATGACAGTACCAATTAAGTATTGTAGCTCAGTGCTGCAGTGCTTGCCTACTATATACAAGTTTCTTTATTAAATTTTCAACATTGAAAAACAAAAGCAGCAAAGCAACCTTTCCTATAAAAGAGACTTCTTTAGATCTGACATGAGTTATAATTTTAAGTATGTTTGCTAAATGATACCAGTGGGCTCTAGCTTGCCAATAATTTCTAAACCTTCACTTAGTAGAGCTACACATTACGAAGCCTGAGTCATAGGCCAAACTGTTTATAATTAATATAAGCCTCTGTGTTTTTATTTGGGACTAAATGTTTGCAGGACCAGCCAGGACAGAAACTTCCATCAAGAGGTGGCGCCTAAATGTTTAGCAAGAATTTCCATATAAAACCTGACAAAAGCTTAAAAGGTATTCTAAACACAAAAGAATAGAATCAAGTATGGCTGCTTCATAGCAGCATTTTTTTTCAAGCAGGTTCTGTTTGTTAGAGGCAAGTAGAGGTGTTGCTCCTTTTAAGAGAGCAACACCATTAGTGGCAAAAATTGCATGGCTCTTTTAAGAGGCCCTGCTTCTAAACACTTATATGATGTTTATGAGTAACAGACAACATGCTTCTTGGTAGTGGCATGGACCTAGAAACTCTGCAGATTGGTGGCAATAAACATGGTTCTCACCAGTATCTCCACCATGAAACTAGACTCTCAGGAAGCCAAGGAATGGGACAATGCCAGTCACCAAAGCAACAGCTTTAATTTTAGACATGCAGTTTAGATTAAAGACTCATGTGGTCAAAAAAAGATAGAGATATACTGTAAAGACAGATTCAGAGGATTAAAAAATAACCTCTAAACAGTTTACAGTGTTTTTAAAAATATATGTAGCTTGTGAGAGAAAAAAGAAAAAGTCATTTAAAAAGAAATAGAAGATCCAGGCAATGGTGGCGCACACCTTTAATCCCAGCACTCAGGAGGCAGAGACAGGCGGATCTATGTGAGTTCAAGGCCAGCCTGGTCTCCAGAGCGAGTGCCAGACAGCCTTCAAGTACACAGAGAAGCATTGTTTCAGAAAACCAAAAAAATAAAAGATAAAACTAAAAGAAATAGAGTAATAAGAAAAAGACATGTAAAGATGGAAAATACACAGAGAGTATGGATACTGTATGTTATTGTGTTGTCTTTGAATTGTTTGATTGCTGAGGAAGGAGAACTAGCTGCTAAAAGACATTTGATTATAAGTGCTGCTGGATTAATCCAACCTATATATTTTGAAAAATGCCTTGACTTCAAATTTTAAGTCTAAGGACATGTTACTTTGGAAAAGAAGTTGTGTTTTTGTTTCCATGAAAAGCTGTGGATCCCTTCCACACTAATATGGTTTGATCAAGCAAGACCACCTGAAGCAGTGGCCCAGGAGATCCAAAATCCAAAACAGCTGAGACCATGAAGCCTTGAAGACCACTACAGCCAGGATTTGGCCAGGGTTCTAGGTTTTCTCAGGATCCCCATGGAATTGACAGTACCCCCAAACAGCAGGAAGCAGTTTTGAAAGAACTATTCCCAAATTCCCAAATATTTTTTTATAAGTGTTTGTTTTCATTTAAAGGGGTTGGTTTAAAATGGTTAATGATCACAGTAAATCTCCTTCTAAAGAAAAAAGGGGAATATGATATGGAAATGAATACTTTGCATTGGTATGGATTTTGGTTTATTGATACAAACTTAAGGTCAATTTTGTTATATGTACATTTCCACTCTTGTTTAAGTATTGTGTTTATACAGCTCTTTTAAAAATGTAATGTGTAATTAAATACAGATTATAGATAGTCACCTATAATAGTCAAAACTTATGCTGGCTAGGCTTTCTAGAGATACAGAGATATATTTTGAATGGATAGGCATTCTTCAAAACCTTTCAAAGTCCTACAGAATATGGCATTTAAAATGGTTTATTAGGGATTTTCATGACAATAAGACACAACTACTCCTGACCACACCAATTATGTCAGAGAGGAAGATGGGCATTGCAAAACCTCATTGTGGAGTTTGCCTTCAACATGACAGGAATAGCCATTTGGACAAGAAACTGCTCTTGCCTGGACTGCTTTACAGCACGCTGTCCAAACTAGACAACCAGGTTACAAAGAAAAGTGACTGCCGAACTTGCCAAGAGATAGGATGGTCCATCAAGGTTCCTCTGCTTCATCAAAAACTCTGCCAGATATTCTGTGCCTATAAGCTGGAGATGGATGCCCCAATGTTACTTTGGGTGACTCTCCAGGCAGTGACATGTCTCTGTCAATTTTAGAATTTATATATTATCCTTCTGAGTTCTTTGATGGAGTTGACACAGATAGTTGTGGCTATGGTTTCCTTTAGTTATAATAAAAGAAAAGTTACATATAAAACTTTAGATTCACAAAGATAGGATAGATGATAGGATATTTTCTTTAAAGTTTACCAAATGTTAGTGGACTAAATATTGTTAATTATAGTTAGTTCTTGCTTGATAACTGTTTTGTTATATATAATTTTACTATGTTAAAGTTAGGCCTTCCTTTTTATTTAGACAGGAAAGAGGAGATGATGGGAGATGTCCTTCTGTATGCTGTGAATATATGTTTCTCTTATTGGTTGATGAATAAAGCTGTTTCTGCCAGTGGGTAGGCAGGATTTAGCCGGGTTGGAAATGAAAATAGGGATAGAGAAAGGTAGGAGGCAGAGTCAAAGATATGTCATGTAGCCACTGGGGAGGTAGGATGCCCAGGCACTCTCTGGCAAGATAAGACCATGTGGATATACACAAATTAATAGAAATGGGTTAATTATTAAGAGTTATCAAGAGGGAGCACATCGGCCCCAGACTGCTGTCTGGGAGGCCAGCACGGGACTGATCCAGACCTCTGAACATGGATGTCAATGAGGAGGCCTCTGCACTCTAGGGAGCCCCTGGTAGTGGATTAGTATATTTCCCTTGTGTAAGAAGGGACTTTAAGAGCCCATCCCACTTGAAGGGATGCACTCTTGGCCTGTTGAGCTAGAAGGAATATGTATAGGAAATACACTATTTGTTATTCATAACAAAAGTATCATAATAGTGTAGCCACTGAAAAACTTTATAGATTTATTTATTGTACATAGTATCAAGAGATTTAATAAATGTATTCTATTTCTAATTAGTGTGGTATGCAGAAATAAAAATGACTCAATGTATTTCTTAAAGTATCTCTATTATATCTTCTTGGCAATAATATTAAAATAGCATAACTAAATATTTTTCTGCTATAGTCTAGCGCCACAGAATCCATTTTTGCAACTTGTTAACATGAACATGTTAAACAACCTAATATTTTTATTAGAGAAATAAAAAATAAATATTAGCCCTAAAAAATTAAGAGTTAGCCAATAAGAATAAGAAGCCTGAGCAATAGACCAAACAGTTTCTAATTAATATAAGCCTCTGTGTGTTTGTTTCCTTATTTTGATTTTCAATAGTTTGAATATTATGTTTCTATTATTAGGGGGAGAGAGAGACAGAGACAGAGACAGACAGAGAGACAGATAGAGACAGAGACAGAGAGGTAGTTTATTTTGTGTGATTTTGTCTTACCTCGTTATGTAATTTGTTGCCTCATCAATTTTGAAAAATATTTGTCTATCTCTTTAAGTACTTTTTCTGGTACTCTCCTCCTTCTAGAGTTATCGTTATCTATATGTATGTTCTTTTTGTTTCTTTTGGGGGTTTTATTAGTTTCTCTCGTAGTTTTCCAGTTAACTTCTAAAATTTATTTTCATTTCATGTAATATTCAATTTTTTTGCATCTGTTTTACAAAGTTCATCCCAGGCCATAGTTATAAAACCACTGTTAGATGAATAATCTTAGTCAAAGAGTAAGTCTTCCAGATCAGATAAGGTTTTCCTTCTCAATTCCACCTTGTTTTTTGAGACATAGTCTCTCATTGAACCTGGAGTTCATTGATTGACTAGATGGGATGGCCAATAAGCTCTAGAAATCTGCTTGTCTCTGCATCCCAACCCTCTGAGATTACAGACGTGCAGTTTTTTAAACATGGAGAATTCTAATCCAGAGATTCTTTGGTTAAGGGTGAGGCTGTTAATGCCTTCCTTTAGCCCAGCATCAGGAGAGAGATGGGGCAGATTTCTGAGTCTGAGGCCAGCCTAGTTTATACAGTGAGCTTTATATCAGGCAGGGGTCACACAGGCCCAGTTTCTAAATGAAAGAGAAGTGGGAAGAGAGGAAGAGATTTTTGTCTTTAGTTAAGCTATATTACCTGAACATTTGTAATACAGCCATCTTCTTGCATTACAAATATAACTAAATATAAACAAAAATAACATTATAATTAGTTCTTACATCTCAATCCAATACCTTAAATAATAGATACTTTGGGCAGGAGAGATAGATCAGTGAGTAAAGTACTTGTCACACAGATCACCACACAGAACCCATGGAAAAAGCCAGGTATGATCACATACATCCATAATCCCCATGCTCCTACAGCAAGGCAGAAAATCCAAGACAGGAGAGTCCTCAGAAGCTTGCTGGCCATCTATCCTGGTATATGCAAAGGAAAACAGGCAGACCCTGTCTCAAACATGGTGGTAGGCAAGGCATGTATTGACACTCAGTGTTGTGCTCTGTCCTATAAACCTACACCATGGCATATAGATGCATACATAAACACACACCATAGAGAGTGAAAGCATAATGTATTATAATCTGAATGTCATCAACTCTGAGCTTGTTCTTTCTAGACCTGAGGCTGAATTATCAGCTTGGGACTTTTCTCCACTTCAGAATTAAAACCTTGTCCCTGGTTTGTATAACTGATCTTTTCTCCACTATTTTGTTGGGGAATAGTCTGAACATCGCAAATGTTTTATTATATTTCTTTACTATGTGTGGGGGGTACATATGCCATAGCATAAGTGTAGAGGTAAGAGGACAACCACAGGACTCAATTCTCTCCTTCTACTATGTAGATTCTAAAGATTGCACTCAGGTCATCGGGCTTGGCATCAAGCACTTATACCCACAAAGCTCTCTATCTCTTTCTTATGATCTAAATATACATAGCATAGTAGCAGTAATACAATAATGACTTTTACCACCATTGTTGAATTATTATATATGTTGAGAATTTGACCAAATAACCTATGATGTAATAGTCTTGGCTAGCGTTTCTTCATTTGTCTAGTAATAGGAGAGAACTCCCAATAGAGAACTTACCTAGAACCTAGGTTATGAGTAACCAGAGTTTTATTCTTTCTTATTTTCAGGGCTATGGGTCTTGGGATGTCATAATTCTGACTTTCGGAAAAGAGGTATGACAGCCTTGCTGAAAGTTTCCAGTTGTGACAAGAGCACTAGTGATTATTATGAAGAAATATATGAAGATATTCCAACACAGTTGGTGAATGATAACAATGTCATTGAACCTAGAAGCTTTTTCCAGAATTCAAATCATCCTAACACTAGAAAAAAATTCAAAGCCACCACAATTCTAGAAAACTATATAGAGAAGATTGAGCCTCAGTTTGGAGAGACAGCAGAGTGGCTAAAAGTACAAAGTGTCTCCTCTAGTGACTTGTTGATGCTCTTGGGGCAGAGTCATCCTACTCCACATGGTTTATCTTTATCAGATGACCAAGAACCCATCTATGAGGCTATTCCTGATGATCATTCACCTGACACAATCGACAGCAATGAAGGCCCATCTAAAGTGACCCAAGTCAGTGCAGAACCCTATCAAAGTAGGAAAATACTATTTAATCCTGAGCCAGGCCTCCAGTCAAGATCAAATAAAAAGTTGGAGACAACTATAGAAGTAAAGCAGAAGAAACTTGATTTGCAAGTTTCTAGTTTGCCAAATAATCTGATGACCACAATTCTGTCAGACAATTTGACAGCAATTTCTGAAAAGACAGATGATTCAGGATCTCCAGATAGGTCAGTTCACTATGTTAGTAAATTAAGCACAATTGCATTTGGTAAAAAACCATGTCCCTCTATGGGGTCTCATGTACCTCTAAGCATTAGTGGAGTAAATAGTGATTCCAACCTGTTGGATACAACTTTAATGAATAATCAAAGTTCAACAGGAGATAATATGTCATCAATGGACAGCGATAGATTACTCAAAGAAAAGAGATTTCATGGAATTGCTTTCTTAGCCAAAGATAACACTTTATTCAAAGATATTACCTCTTTGATGAAAATAAACAAGACATACAATCATTCAGCAACTAATAAAAAAGCTCACATTGACAGCCCAACTTCAATTGAGAATAGTACAGCAGTCTTGCAAGATACTATATTAAAAATCAATAGTGAAATTCAAGAATTAACATCTTTGATTCATGATGGAACACTTTCAGGCAAAAATACTACATATTTGGGGCTGAACCATATGCTAAATAAAACTGCCTCATCAAAAAATAAAGAAATATTTCATCAAAAAGATGAGGATCCTGTTCCACAAGATACAGAAAATACAATCATGCCATTTTCCAAGATTCTATTCTTATCAGAATCAGAAAATTGGATGAAACAAACAAATGGAAATAACTCCTTGATCTCTGAGCAAGGGCCTAGTCCAAAGCAATTAGTATATTTAATGTTAGATAAGTCTATGAAAAATCAGAATTTTTTGTCAGAGAAGAATAAAATGATAGTAGCAAAGGATGAATTCACAAAGGACACGGGACTCAAACACAGGGTTTTCCCAAGCAAAACGAGCATATTTCTTACCACCTTGGCTAATGTACAAGAAAATGATATGTACAATCAAGAAAAAGATATTCAGAAAGAGATAGAGAAGAAAGCATCAATCAAAGAAAAAGTAGTTTTGCCTCAGGTGCATATAGCAACTAGCTCTAAGAACTTCCTGAAAGACATTTTCTCTCTAGGCACTAGGCAAAAGGTAAGTTTAGATGGAGATATATATATACCAATACGTCAAGATATCAGATCAATAAACAACTCAACAAATACAGTAGAGATTCACATGGTCCATTTCTTTAAAAGAAGGGAGGATGAGGAAACAAATTCAGAAGGCTTGGTAAATAAAACCAGAGAAACAGCAAAGAACTATCCAAGCCAGAAGAATATTATTGCTCTTCGTAGTAAACGAACTTTGGGACAATTCAGACTCCCACTAGAAGAAATGGAGATTGAAAAGCAACAAATTGTAAATAATGACTCAACTCTGTGGCCTCAAACCATGAACTATTTGACACAGATAGACCACAGCAAAGAAGGGGAAACGTCCATTATTCAGTCTTCCTTATCAGAGTCTTCTATGACTAAAAGCACCACTCAGACCAATAGTTCTGGATTACACATTGTAAAAGCATCAGCATTTCCACCAACAGATCTCAGGAGGATTCCATTCCAAGACAAAATTTTTCATGTTCTAGCATCATCCTACACTTATGACTTTAAGACAAAAAGTTCTAGAATTCAAGAAAGCAGTCATTTCTTAAAAGAAATCAAAATAAATAACTCTTCTTTAACCATCCTACCATGGGAGATGATCATAAATCAAGGAAAATTTGCCTCCCCAGGGACAAGTAATACAAACTCAGTCACATATAAGAAACTTGGAAACATTGTTCTCTTTAAACCAGTCTTGTCTGAAGAATCTGGCAAAGTTGAGTTGCTTCCTCAAGTTTTGATTCATGAGAAACAACTTTTACCTACAAAAACTAGCCATGAATCTCCTGGGCACCTGGATCTCATTAAAGAAGTCTTTCTTCAGAAAACACGGGGGCCTATTAAATGGGATAAAGCAAAGAGAAATGGGAAAAGTCTGAAAGGAACAAGGGAGAGCTCTGAAAAGACTCCCTCTAAACTGCTGGATAATCTTGCTTGGGATAACCATCATGCTGCACAGATACCAAAAGATAAGTGGAAATCCAAAGAGAAGTCACCAGAAATTACATCTGTTAAGAGAGAGGACACCATTTTGTCTCTGAACCCTCATGAAGACAATCATTCAGTAGTGGCAAATGAGAAACAAAAGTGGCCCCAAATAGAAGCCTCTTTGGTAAAGCAAGGTCAGATCCAAAGGTTGTACTCTCAAAATGCACCAGTCTTAAAACGCCATCAAAGGGAACTTAGTGCACTTCAGTCAGAACAAGAAGCAACTGACTATGATGATTCTATCACCATTGAAACAAATGAGGATTTTGACATTTATGGTGAAAATATAAAGCAGGATCCCCGCAGCTTTCAACAGAAGACACGGCATTATTTTATTGCAGCTGTGGAGCGGCTCTGGGACTATGGGATGAGTACATCTCCTCATGTTCTACAAAATAGGTTTGTATCTATTGAGGTTTTTTCCTATGCTATTGTGACCTTTGACATTACTATGAGCCAAAATGGAAAACAAAAAAAAGTCACCATCATCCAGCAACCTTATGAGCTGCAAGAGCAATCTTTTCATGAAAGATCTCTGAAAATGGAGACGTGAAGTGTGTGGTAAAGAAGTTAAAGATGTAGGTAGGGATGTTTTCTAAAATACTGGAAATACAAAAGAAAAGTGAATCATTTGATTTTAGGAGAGCCAAAGGAGGTTGTGATGGGGGAGAGAAAGCACAGACAAGTTTAGAGGAAAGACATATGAAGAATCAGTCAACAAACATAATGGAACACCTACTGTGTGACAGATAATATTGCAGTAATTTGAGTACAGCATATCAGGAGTTTACCTTCTCTTATAACAAGAGATAACAACTAGTACAAAAATAAATTAGGGAGATGGCTTAGTCAATAAAGTGCTTGGTGTGGAAACATGAGGACCTAAGTTCAGTAGAGGACCAAGTTCAGTTTCTATTACCGGTGTCAGGTAGCTTATAATTACCTGTAACTCTAGCTCCCAGAGATCTGTTGCTCTCTTCTGGCCTCCATGGACATACACCCTCATATGCACAGATCCCCATATGCATGCACACATGTGAATACACGTGTGTGTGTGTGTGTGTGTGTGTGTGTGTGTGTGCACGTGCACACACACACACACACACACAATTCTCAAAGTAATAAAAATAAGTATTTAAAATGAATGTGGTAGCACATACTTGCAATGCTAGTACTGGAAATGAAAAAACAAGCAGGCAGATATCTTGTGTGGGGTCACTGACCAGCCAGCCTGACCCAATTGGTGAGCTCCAAGTTCAATGAGAGATATCCATCTCAAAAAACAATGTGGATGGCTCCCAAAGAATGATATCCAGGGTTGATCTCTGGCCTTCACAAATGTTCATACATGTAAACACATATACAAAAAGAGAAAGAATTAAGATTATTTCAAGGGAGCTATTCAGAAAATAATATAAAACAATGACTGGGGGCCACTCAGCTATGATGGTAAAAGAAATCCCTTTTGAGGAATTGAGACATAAAGATAATGAGGCCAAGTGATGGAGCTCAGAGAAGACAGGGAGAAAACACAAAGGCTTTAAGAATGAGGCATGTTTAACACTTTTGAGGTACAAAAACATGTAATACTGGAGTACAGTGAAAAGTTCAAGGTATGCAGGACACAAGGGTGGCAGAATTGAGCACCAAACACACAATACAGGCCCTAGAGAAAGAATACAGCCCCTTCATTACTCTGACTCACAAAAAGCCTGATAATAAATGGACCATCTGTACTCCTATATAAAGCCCACCATACAAATTTTGGACTTTATTTCATTCCTTTCCCACTCTTAAAAATGTTTCTATAGAACAATGTTTCTCAACCTTCCTAATGTTGTCACCCTTTGATATAGTTCCTCATATTGTGATGACCCCCAAACATAAAATTATTTTGTTGTTACTTCAAAACTGTAGTTTTGCTACTGTTATGAACTATAATGTAAATATCCAATATACAGGGTATCTAATATGTGACCCCCCCAAAGGGGTTGCCACGCACAGGTTGAGAAACACTGCTCTAGAAGCTTCTCTTTTTCTCTCTTACACAGTTTCTCCCTTTCCACTAGATTGGTGTTATCAAAATCATGTTATCATTTTTAAATATTTTATATTATGTATGAGTGTTTACATATATATGTGCATCATATACATGCCTGATGCCCACAGCGATCAGAAAAATTGCCAATCCCTTGGAACTAGGGTTACAGACAGTTGTGAGCCACCATGTGTGTTCTAGAACTCAAACTTGGCTCCTCAAACAAGTACTCTAAACTGCTGAGCCATCTCTCCAGTTGCTTATCATGTTATTAATGGCCATTCCTTCATTTCATTTATTTAGACTTCAAACTTTGAAGTAATTTCTGACTCCTCTTTTCCCTCATATTCAGATCTAATTCACCAGAAATCTTGATCATTATAGTATATTTTTACAAAACCAATTTTTGAAATGGACTAAATATTAGATGATAAAATATAGTGAAATGGGAAGGTAAGGATGACTGGGATAAATAATAATAATAATAAAATCACAGGCTGCTCCATCAGGCTGAAACTTGGTGATGATTCCTGGAGGTGGACTAAATTCTCCACACCCCACCTACGTGCTGAACTGACTACTGTCTCCATATCTCCCTGAACTGGTTCAGATGAACTATTATATATAGCCTTAAGAATAAAATAGACTTGCCTTCCTAGATTTATATAAGCCTGCAGTTAATCTAAATTGAAGTTTACAGAATGGAGTGATATCACTAAAAGTGAAAAATGACCTGAATGAACTGACTTCTTATATCATTGTACATAAAAATGTTTCCATCAGAGCCAATAAGGAGAAATTCTACTTCAACAAGCACTTGGAGTAAAGCCATCAAATGAATAGTTAAAACAATAAACATCTAAGAAAGAAGAAAACAGGATGTATTAATCTCAGGGTAGGGAAATAAAAGTGATTAGCTCAAGATACACAAAGAATTAGCCAATATAAAAAATCTATTTCACTGTTTTAAAATTATGAACTTGGAGCTCTAGAGATGGTTCAGCATTTAAGATGACTTATTGCCTTTGCAGAGGAGATGAGTTTGGTTCCCAAACACAAATGGCAGCTCACAGCAGCCTGTGACTCCAGTTCCAGGAATTCTGACACCCTCTTCTGGCTTCCGTAGACACTGATATGCATGCAACACACAGACATGGGCATATATACTCATAAATAAAAATAAGACTTTAAAAATAATTTAAATGAACAAAATTATGAACTTGGTGTGCATCAAAAAGTATGCCAAAGAGAATGAGGATATTGGCTATAGAATGGAAAAGCACACCACCTTATTGATCATGGAAATGTAAAATAAAACCACAATGAGACTATTGTGCAAACACCAGATTAACCAAAATGTAAAAATGTGGTTAAGTATTTGTGAAGATTTGGAGCAAATGCAACTCCCACACTTTATTGTTGTTAAAATGGAAATATAACAGCTGATTTAGAAAACAGTGTAGCAGTATATACTAAGCCTAAAATATGCCTGTCCAGCAATTCAATTCCTGCATGCGTCACCAAAGGAAATACATTCATTTGTTCACCAAAGACATATACCTGAAGATTCATAGCAAGACTATTTGCACATCTCAAATTTATTAGTAATTCATATGCCCAAAATTGGAGTATGTTAATCTATTGAAATACAATAAAACAGAGAATACATAAGCTATAATTACAACATAGATGAATATCTCAATTGTAATGCTTAGTGAAAGAAAAAAACAAGGATATGTACACTGTTGCATCTTATATACTTAAAAAAAAAAACAAGCAAAACTGAACTATGCTCTTTTAAAAGGTATGGTTAGAGCTGGGCTGCAGGGGCTCACAACTTTAATCCCAGCACTTGGGAGGCAGAGGTAGGTAGATCTCTGTGAGTTCGAGGCCAATCTTGTCTACAGAGCTAGTTCCAAAACAGCAATGGCAGTTACACAGAGAAAACTTGTCATGAAAAATGAAAAAAAAATATATAGTTAAAAGAGATAAACTTATAAAAAAAAGCAAAGAAATAAGTTTTTCTAAACATCAGAAGAATGGTTACCTTTAGTGGAGAGATAACAGAGTGTGAGTGGGAAAGGGATATATAGTTTTCTGGGAGATGTCTGCATTTCTGAATGAAAGACATTTATGTGTATGTTTCAGTTTAGGACTTTAAAATGTTATTTTTTAAATTTAAGAGATACAAAAATGGAAACTGTAATTTCTTATATTTAGAGTATGTTTTAAAGCCTGCATTTATTCAACATTCCACAATAAATTGTGAGTATGTGCCTTGTATTAGATATTGTTCCAACTACTGGGAATGAAGCAGTAGACAAAATAGAAAAAAGAAACCTGCTTTTAGGAAACTTACATACTAGTATAATCCTAAGAGAATATTTCTAGGTAGATGGAATGGTTAACCATTATTTTGGTTAGGGTTTCTATTGCTTTGAAGAGACACCATGACCACAGCAACTTTATAAAGGAAAACATTTAATTGGGGCTGGCTTACATTTTCAGAGGTTTAGTCTATTATCATTATGGCAGGACATGGTGGCATGCAGGCAGGCAAGGTGCTGGAGAGAAAAAGCTAAGAGTTTTACATTTTGATCTGCAGGTAACAGGAAGTGAACTGTAACACTGGGTGTAACTTAAGCACAGACTTCAAAGCCCAGTGACACACTTCCTCCAATAAGGGCACACCTACTCCAACAAGGTCACACCTCCTAAAAGTGCCACTGCCTTTAGGGTCCATTATCTTTCAAACAACAACAATTATGCAAATTATTTCTTAGTTGTCTAACAAAATAAGGACATAAAAATTTTGTGAGCTGCTGACCTCTAGATAGTTGGCATTTGCCAATTTAATTCACATAGTGTTATGTGTAACCAAACCAAAATCTAACCCTCAAGTATTATCCATCTTGAAAAATTGCATCACCATGCATTGATTTGTTCAAACTAGAAACCTGAAGATTAACTTTTATCTTGTAAAAGGGTCTTAGGTACCTAAAGCTATTCTCAGATTTGCTGTGTAGTCCAAGCTGGCTTAAAGCTTGTAGTGATTCTCTTGCTTCAGCCTTCTGAGTGCTGGAGTTATGGCCACCATACCCACTTTATGTTGCAATGGAAATGGAACCCAGAACTCCCTGCATGCCAGATAGGCAAGCAATCTACCAACTGAGACACCTCTTTTGCCCCTGAAAATTATATTTCATCTTTTTCTCTCCTCCCTACAACATTGCATTTATTATCTATTATCAATTTTATTAAGCATATCTCAAATAAAGGGAAAGCAAACTTATGAGGCATCCTTCCTCATTGGTCCATCAAAATACTGCTTTTCTTCTGCTTTTTCTCCAGGGATCAAAGTGGTAATGCACTTCAGTTCAAGAAAGTAGTTTTTCAGGAATTTACTGATGGCTCCTTTAGTCAACCCTTATACCGGGGAGAACTAAATGAACATTTGGGATTGTTGGGGCCATATATAAGAGCAGAAGTTGAAGACAACATTATGGTAAGTTAAGAACAATGGAATTACAGAAACAATTCTATATATTTGGTTTGCTTCTGATTATAAAAATAACATGTATATATGGTTTGAAAGTAGACATTAAACAGTCTAGGCCAGTGGTACTCAACATGTGGTTCATAACCTCTTGGGGGAGTCTAAAGACTTTCACAGGGTCACCTAAGACTATCAGAAAACATGGATATTTACATTAAAATTCATAACTGTAGCAAAATTACAGTTATGAAGTAGCAATGAAAAAAAAATTATGGTTAGGGGTTACCACAATATGAGGAACTATATTAAAGGATCACAGCAATAGGAAGGTTGAGAACCACTAGTCTATGGCCAACCTACAGCCTTTAAACCACATGCAACCAAATATAGATATGTGTATTCTAGCACAAAAATCACAAACTTACTTAAAACATTATGGAATTTTTTGCATTGTTTTTGAAAATCAGTTGTACAGTTCTTCAGTGTGAACATTAGTAGTTATCATGTCACAGTGTGAAAAGGCTGGACACACCTGGTCTGTCTATGGTAACAAAAGTAACTAATTGGAGAGAGGAGGAAAAGAAGGAGAGATTAGAGGACTGTGTGAGGAATATGTTCAAATGTATTATGTACATGTATGAAACTATCTTTGTATAACACAGTACCATGTGCAGTGATGATTATACACCAGTGGGAAAAATAATGTGTTCTACCATCTGAAAAAAATTAAAGTACATGAAAATTAAGAAGTTTAAAATAATCCTATAATTATCATTTGATGTATATTCCTTATCTGTTGCCTGATTTTTCTCTTTATGTATTAGAAATTATGCCATATGTAATATGTGTAATTCTACCTCTTTTAAATTACGTATTATGCAATAAATATTTCACATCATCCAAACACTTCCTAAGTAAGAAGGAAGGACTATGTGTCTGGGCATGGTTGCACATGCCTTTACTCCTCTCCCTTCTCCCACCCCCACACTCAGAAGGCAAAGACAGATGCAGGTGGAGCTCTATGAGTTTGAGTTCAGCCTGGTCTATGTAGGGAATTTAAGGACAGCCATGGTGACAGAGAGACTCTATCTCAGAAAACAAACAACAAAAGAATGACTACATGATATTCTATCACATAAATTGATGGGGCCATAGGTTACTTAACCTTGTGCTTTGAATAATCTTTTAGATAATTTCCTTTTTTCATTTCTTTGTTTCTTTGAGACACAGTCTCACAACGTAGCCTTGGGTTTTAGTCAATGTTTTATTGCTGTGAAGAGACACCATGACCAAAGAAACTTTTATAAAAGAAAGCATTTAATTGCAGTAATTTCTTACAGAGGTCTAGTCTATTATCATCATCATGGGAAACATAGCAGCAGTCATGTCAGGCATGGTGGTGCTGGAGAGTTAGCTAAGACCTACAGGCAAAGAGAGAGACAATAGGCTTGGCATGGACTTTTAAAACCTCAAAACTCTAGACAGAGTTTCTTTACAGCTAGGTCCCACAGCCTATTAGTCCCAAATAAATACACACAGAGGCTTATATTGATTATAATCTGTTTGGCCAATGGCTCAGGCTTCTTATTGGCTAGTTTTCTCTCAATTATTAACCCATTTTTTATTGAACTATGTATTGCCACAAGGCTGCGATTTACCCATAATGCTCTGGCATGTAACTCCTTTGGCAGCTACATGGTGCACTCCAGCAGCTTCTCTCTGTGTTCTCTCCCCAGAATTCTCCTCAACTCATAGCCCCACCTATACTTCCTTCCTGCCTGGCTACTGGACAATCAGTGTTTTATTCATCAACCAATAAGAGAAACACATTAACAGCATACAGAAGGACATCCCCCATCACAAAACCCAGCCCCTAGTGACACACTTCCTCCAACAAATCAACGCATACTTCAACAAGGCCATACCTCTTAATAGTGCCACTCCCTATGAACCTATGGAGGCTATTTTTAGTCTAACCTCTACACCTTTGCTGACCTGAAAGTCACTATGTAGACTTGGCTGGCCTCAAACTCAGTAGGATCCTAGAGATCCTACTGTGCCTTTTGAGTGCTATTATTAAAGGTGAATGCCACCATACCCAGTGTATTAGTCAAGAGTTCTCTGGAGTCACAGAACTTATGGAATGTGTGTGTGTGTGTGTGTGTGTGTGTGTGTGTGTGTGTGTGTGTGTGATTTACTGATATATATATATATATGGAATTTACTGTAATGACTTACAAGCTGCACTCCAACTAATCCAACAATGGCTAGCTGTGAAGGGAAAGTCTGAGACTCTAGTAGTTGATCAGTCCCACATGGCTGGGTGTCTCAGCTGGTCTTCTGTATATGCTGAAACCCCAAAGAGGTAGGCTTCAATGCCAGTGAGAGAATGAATGTGCTGACAAGGAGAGGGCAAGCAGGCAAAGAACCAAACCTTCCTTCTTCCATGTCCTTATATAGGCTTCCAACAGAAGGTGTGGCCCAGATTAAAGGTGTGTCTTTCCACCTCAAGATCTGGATCAAAAGCCTGTGTCTTCCAGCCTCAAGGTCTGGATCAAAGGTGTGTTATTCTCTCACCTAAAGATCATGATCACAGGTGTGCCATCCATTTCTGGATAGTAGTTTATTCTAGATATATTCAAGTTGACAACCAAGAATAGCCATCACAAGTCCACAACTTGTCAACGTGACACACAATCATCTACTTATGTCATGGTTAATTTCCAAATGAAAACAATAACCTAAACATAACTATCCCACATACAAGTGCAAATGCATATGCATTATATATTTAACAAGGTCATAATTACACTTAAAATGATTTAACTATTCCTAGTACAATTGCAAACACAGCCACACTTATAAAGGAAAACATTTATTTTGGGCTGGCTTATGGTTTCAAAGGTGAAAATGAGAGAAAATTGGCTTTGATGGAAGAGAAATTACAGATTTCACATGTGGATTATGTGGACCCAAAGATAAACTGCATTCATATTACCCTCTAAGCATTCACCTACAGGAATTTTAATGCAGAAGAAAGATATTATCATAGAATGAATCTTTTTACCACATAAACTGAGTAAAAAATTAAAAATTTATAATCTCTGAGTTGATTCTAAAAGGAAAATTGATACTTCGTCATTTAGCAGGAATAGATTAAGCAGAAATTATACTACATTTCACTAACGATGAAACTGTCAAATTATTGGTAGAAAGTGAACCCTAGCAAAGAGAGTGTGGTAATTTTCAGGGAGAGATTAACAACAATTATCACAAAAGCAATAGAATTTAACTTATAAAGAATGGATCCTTACTTGCATTGTAAGGAAACACAAAAAACTGGAGCCACTCCATTCTATATTGATATAAATAAATCAGGAAAGGCAGGTTGCAGATCAGAAAATTTAAGTAAAATGGATCTAATTCCTTATAATTCTGTCCAAAAGTCAGAATTATGCACTATTCTCATGGTGGTAATGGATTATATTCATTCAACAGAGTTACTGATCCATAGTATTTTCCATAGTATGCAGAAAGAGTTGTTTTGCATCCAGAAAGAGTTGAAACTGCTGAATTTATACCAAACAATACAGAATTGACTTCATTATTTATTCAATTACAAGACATAATCAGGAATAGGAATCATTATATATATATATATATATATATATATATATATATATATATATCAACTATTGATAGGAAATCTGCTAAAGGCCTCAGAATTTCATAAAAAGCACCATGTCAATAGCAAAGGTTTTAAAAAGACTTTTCTATCACTTGGCAACAAGCCAAGGAACTTAAAAGAAAATTTCCTTATTATTCTTTATACAACCAGTTTCCACTACCTGCAGGAAGTTACTGAAATGGTACTCAAAGGAATGAAATCTGGCAGATGGATGTGTTCCTATTGGGGAACTTGGAAAATTAAAATATGTACACCACACCATTGATACCTATTCATGTTTTTAATGGGCAACTGCTTTGAGTTCAGAAAAGGCTGATTTCGTAATTACACCTGTACAAATTAAGACAGACAATGCTCCAACATATGTCTCTAAGAAAATGAAAAAGGTTTTACTAAAACATATTACAGGTATACCACACAGACCTACAGGGCAGGCAGTTATAGAAAGATCAAATAAAACTCTAAAGGGTATGCTAAATAAACAGAAAGGGATGATAAAGAACCCCAGAAATAGATTGAATGGTGCTTTACTAATTTTGAATTTTCTAAATGCTATTGAGAAAGGAACAACAGCTTCAGAGAGACATTGGATAATAGAAAAAACTACAGAATTAAATCAGCTTGTATACTTTAAAGATGTGTTGACCTCCAAATGGAAACCAGGATATGTGTTACATTGGGGAAGAGGTTTTGCTTTTTGTTTCCACTGGAGAAGAAAATCTATGGATACCATCAAAATTTATGAAGATTCTATTTGAACAAGAGACCCCTTAATTAGAAGAGATGATAATTTATCAAACAGTATGGATGTTTAATCTAAATGAATTATAAAATTAACAAATGCTTTTCATTTGATCCGATATACCTTGCCAAAACAGAACCTCCCCAAAATTAGGGTTGGGGAAAGGTTTTATTTAACCTTTTCAGGAGAATAAAGTTATCCAGCTATGGAATCTGGAGACCACTGGACAAATGAGACATCTGAAGAAAAAGGACAAATCATCCAGAAAAATTGTCCCAAGAAAAATAATAAATTGGCCTATTGGTATATCACATCTCCAACAAAATCAAATTTTATAAATCTTCCCAAATGTTTGTTTCTGTTTTTTTTCTACAAATATATAATGCAAATGATCTTTTTGTAGTCCCAGTCCAATTGAAGATTAAAGCTGGCTTTGGAGTTGGAGTGTGGCTCTCTCCTTCTCAAAACCCAAGCTTGCTTGTTAAAGTAAAATCAAAAATCTCTGTCTCATGTCAGAAGAGCCACCTGATATGGAACAGAAGAAAAAAATTAAGGGACTATTGTATTGCCACTAATCTCATAATCCTTTGGTTTTATTTTTAATCATTGAAGCTTTTCTTGAGGTATATTATTTTAAAATTTATGAAATTAATATACCTGTATTTTAAAGTTTTTGTCATCATATTAATGGTCGTATAGAGTACTAACTAGTTCCAGAAAAAGGGTTCATCTACCTTCCTGTTAATGGTTTTGGGTTTGATTCTCTACCAGTTTTCTACAGTGAACCATGACCTTGCCTAACAGCAACCTTTGAAATCTCCAAAAGGAGGATGGGGCCCCACAATGACAATCCCACCAGAACTATGATAACATTATTAAGCTTAACAACACCAGCTAAAGATCAGCTTTGGACTGCAAACTCCTCAGAACAATTTTGAGGTAGCCAACTGAGATGATCCAGCCTCACAGATACTGCTCAGTACAGTTTTGAGGTGGCCAGCTGATATGATCCAGCCTCACAGACACTGCTCAGAACAATTCCAAGGTAGCCACCTGAGATGATCCAGCCTCATTGACATGGCTCACAACAATTTTGGGGTGGCTAGCTAAGGTGATCCAGCCTCACAGACTACTCTACCCAAGACTTAAGACAAGCTCTGCACTTTCCCATTACAGAGACTGGACAACAAATGATACCACTTGACAGTTAACCCAAAAATTTTCTTTTCAGGTTCCCCTAAAGATACTGTTGCCCCCAGACAGCAAGAAGTAAATTTAAGAACACAGAACCCTCATTCCCAAGAGGTGGGGTGGATAGTTTTTGGTCATTCAATAGGTTATGGATATTTCTCATTGTTTAGGAGGATTGGTTACAAAGTAGTGTTGGTAATGATCAAAAAGGGGGGTATACAGATGTTACAGGATAAAAAGGGTAGAGTATTGTATCACTGAAAAAAGGGGGGAATATAGATATGAGGAGGCAAAAAGTAGATTATTGAATCTACTTTTAAAATTTTTACATTGTATTAGACTTCTGTATATTGTATACAAATATTGTATATTGATACAAATTTGAGATTAATTTTGTTAAAACATACTGTATATGTTTCTAATCTTGTTCAAGGTATTGTACCTATATATTTTGTTCAATGTAATCCAAATTTCTAGTCCTTGAAAGTTATTATTACCAACAATATAGGATAATAAGGAAATACAGGTTAGTAGTCACCTGTTACTATTGAACTTTTAGTCTCATTAGGTATGTTTACAAGGTCAAACATATATTTTAGAAAGACAGGTAATCTTCAAACACTTCAGAGATCTACAGAATATGGCTTGTAAGAGTTTTTAATACCATAGGTTCTTCTTTATGTCAATGAGACATGTCTGCTCCTGGCAGCACCAATCTACTACAGAGAAGATGATAGGCATCAAAGAAACTCCACATAGAGTTTGATTTCTTTGTGGCAAAGTAAGCCAGTGGGTAAGAAAGTGCCCTTTCCTCAACTGCTGGCAGTATGCTGTCCAAAATGGACAAACAGGACACAAAAGAGTGTGACTGCAAAACCTTGCCAAGACAAGGTGGGACAGTCTTTCAAAAATCCTGCTTCATAAAAAAGTCTGTCAGATGAATCAGACCCCTGAACATGGATGTCAATGAGGAGGCCTCTGCACTCTAGGGGGCCCCTGGTAGTGGATTAGTATTTTTCCCTGGTGTAAGAAGGGACTTTGAGATCCCATCCCACGTGAAGGGATGCTCTCTTCGCCTGGATACATGGGGAAGGGCCTAGGCCCGGCCGAGGATGATGTGGTGGAATTTAGGGATCCCCATTGAGGGCCCTACCCTGCCTGGGGAGTGGAGGGTAGATGTGGTGGGGGTGCAGGTGGGGGGGTTGTGGGGGAGGGGAGTGGGAAGGGATTGACATGTGAAGCAAGCTTGTTCCTAATTTGAACTAAAAATAATTAAATAAATAAAATTTTTAAAAAGTCTGTCAGATATACTAGGTCTACAGGCCAAAGATTGATACCTCAACATTGCAGAGGAACCTTGGATGACTGTCCAGATATTTTTATCATTTCTCACATTTTTTGGAATCTGTTTGCTCCTTCTTCCTGCTTACTCAGATAATATTTCCTTCTTGTGTCTCTGAGGGAGTGTAAGGCTAGTTATTGTTTTCCGTACTCAGAATAGAAACCCACTAAGAAGGCACAAAGTGTAAAAGCATGAGAGACATTAAAAGATAATTTTATAATGCAAATTAGAATAGAAAGTAAATTAGGTACAAGACATTGGACTCACCAAGATAGGATTGATAATAGACTAGATATTTTCTCTGAATTTTTCACATGCAAATGTACTACATATTGTTGACAAACTTATTGCTTGTATATATTGTATATACTTATTATACTTATTGTATATAGTTTTTCTTTTTAAATAAATTTTTATTTAAATTAAAAACAATCTTATTTTACATACCAACCCCAGTTCCCTCTCCCTCCCCTCCTCCCATTCCCCCCACAGACCTCCCCATCCCATCCCCCAACCACTCCCCAGGGAGGGTGAGGCCTCCCATGAGGGATCATCAAAGTCTGACACATCATTTGGGGCAGAGCCTAGGCCCTCCTCTATGTATCTAGGCTGAGAGAGTATCCCTCCATAGGGAATGAGCTCCCAAAGCTCATTCGTGCACTAGGGGATTATATATTTTTTTCTTATGTTAGTTGTAGTCTTTTTTGTATTAGACAAAAAAGGGGAAGAGTGGTAATATATTGTTTATGATTTAATAAAGCCCCTAGAAATCAAAATGCAATGCTAGCCACAACCATAGAACCAGGAAATTGTAAAGTATACCTTTAATTCCACCAGCCACACTAGTTAGGTAGTGGTGATGCACACGTTTAATCCCAAGTCTCAGGAGACAATGGCAGGTGGGTCTCTGTGAGCTCAAGGCCACCCAGGGTTACATTAGAATGAAGCAGTCTAAAAGAGAAACAGCTCAAACAAAGGAGATCTCAGTACTTGGGATCCCACACCTTTAATCCCAGCTCTAGAGAGGTATATAAAATAGGAGCAGGGCATTCAGTAGTCAGTCTCAGAGATTTATTCTCCAGCCTGAGGTAGGGTAAAAGGTAGTGGCTGGCTGCTTTGCTTTTCTGATTTTCAGCTGGAAGTTTGAACCCCAATATCTGCCTCTGGGTTTTTATTATTCATGTTACAATTAGTTTGCATGTATTCTATGATGAATATGCATAGGTTTTTAAATCTAAAAAGCAAACCTTTAAAAAAAAGAAGACACAAATTTTGGTGAGTAGGGATGTAGGGTTTGATACAGAAGAAAAGTGGAGGTAACTATAATCAAAATACATTGTTTAGAAAATTTAAAAAGATAATTCACATCCACCTTGGAATTTATTATGGCAAAACTTAGTCACTCTTGAAGTTATAGTGACATTTTCTGTTTACTTTTGAATTACTTTTAAGTGATTAAGAATTTTTCTCCATAATTTTCATTTATAAAATTAGAATTCAAAATTTTCTCATGACTTTGTTCTTAAGGTCTGAGGTAATAAAAATTGGATAAAGACCAAAAGTTAAAGGGATACAGATATAAAACTTTAAAACTCTTGAAGATTTTATTATTCTAAAAAATTATTCTTTCTGGATTTTTTTTCCTCTTCAGGTAACTTTCAGAAACCAGGCCTCTCGTCCCTACTCCTTCTATTCTAGCCTCATTTCTTATAAGGAAGATCAGAGACAAGAAGAACCTAGAAGAAACTTTGTCAAGCCTAATGAAACCAAAATTTATTTTTGGAAAGTACAACACCATATGGCACCCACGGAAGATGAGTTTGACTGCAAGGCCTGGGCTTATTTCTCTGATGTTGATCTTGTAAGTGGTTCTTTATTGGTATAGTCATATTCTTACTTAAAAGAAATTGCTTTTATCTTTTTTAATTTTTTAATGTGTATGGGTGTTTTTCCTGTGTTTATGCTTGTGCATCAAGTGCATGCCTGGTGCTTCTAGAGACTAGAAGGAGGCTTTGGATTCCCTGGAACTAGAGTTAGAAACAGTTGTGAGCTGCCATGTGGGTGCTAGAAATTTAACCTAGATCTTCTGGAAGAGCAGCTGGTGCTCTTAACAACTGAGCCTTTTTCTAGCCTGATTTTTATCTTCTATGATAAGAATTATGTTATTTATCCTAAACACAATGAGAAGTTTTTTTTTTATTTTATTAGTTCTAGTTAGGGAACAAGCTTATTTCAAGTCCCTTCTCCCTCTCCCTCCCCTCACCCC